GAGACCTAGACCCATTGTCCTGCCTAAGAGCTATAGCACATAATCATTTAAGAGCTCAGACTCGGTTCAGAAGCCAAGCTTTCTGGGTTCAATTCTGACTTTGATAATTACAGGCTGTGTGACCTTGAGCAAATTACTCCGCCTCTCTGTGCCTCTGTAAATTGGAAGTAGAACCTACTTCATTGCATTGCTCTAAAATAAATCTTGGTCTAGATTTGGGACAATGTAAATATTGACCATCATTAATCCTGCACCTCTTTCTAAGTTTAAGTTCAGGAAGTTGAAAGAAAGCAAAATCCTGGGAGGAAAGTTCTCTGCCAGAGGATATTACAAAACCTCAGAACTCATCCTCGAATCAACAGGTCCCTTCCTATGCCCGAAGCTACATGAAGCAATGCTTTGTTTGAAAGAGCAAAGCTTTGGAGTCAGAAGACTTGAGTTCAAGTTCTTGCTTCACCACCCACAATTATACTCATGCAGGTGGTATACTCTCTTGTTGGGAGAAGGATAGAAGGTAATTATGTAACATATGCATGTGGGAGCATCTCAGCCACACACAGAGGGAGAAATCATGATGTTTATTCTGCCAAAGGCTTGCTCAGGAAGGAAAGGCAGACCTTTGATACTAAATCGGTCAAACATTAATCAAGGGCAGCTTCTTTTGCTAGATCTCTACACAATGGCACTGCATGTTTGTTTGCAGGAAAACCTCTTTGCATTCTGGCCTATCAAGTCATAAAACAAAAATTCAACCAAATGTCAGTCATTTTCAGAGCTCTTGCTATGGGGAAGTTCAGTTTTAAAATATTGTAGGTAAATGAGATTTACAGTTGGGGCTCAAAGCACCGACCTTGGGACCAGACCTGGGTTCTCCAGTGCAACTTTGGGCAAGTGAGGTAACTTTTCAGACTTCCATTGCATCCTTGGAAATTGGGGGAAACAATATCCACTCCCAGAAAGTTTTGTAAGGAATTAAATGACATAATCCACAATGTACATTCATCCTTTCCTGCTTTTCTCCTATTAAAACAAACTAGACCCCTCTCTTTTCCTCTAAGGTTAATCCCTCATCCTTGTCCTCTAAGAAATTCACCCCACCTGTCGTCTCCTTCCCTCTGAATCTTCTTTCCATTGCTTTCTGTGCCAGGCCCTTCCTCATTCCCATTAAGGTTTATATATGAGGTTGGACAATTAACCTTTCAAACTCATCCTAGAAAAAGTGCCATATGCCATATTGCTGAATCTCACTACAGTCACCCCTGAAGGACTTCCCTTGGCCATCTGATGACGTTAAGCAGGGGAATGTACTTTTGCTAGGATGAGTTTGTGAATTTACTTGTCTGATCTTGCATGACAATAGCTCTGATGGCCGATCCTGAAAAAGAACTCCAAAATTGCTTTGAGGGTGGATGAGGCACTGGCAGTAACGCGCAGCTTCCCAAGGGGAAGGTGACCGCAACGATATTCAGCAAGGAGGGAAGCAGCGCTTTTTCCAGGGTGAGTTTGGGAACTTCATTGTCTGACTTTGTGTATCTAAGTTTCTCCCATTAGAAGGGAAAAACAAAAAGCAGTCCCTCAAATCCATACCCTGTAAATTTCTTGGAAGAAAGGACCTCACCTGCTATCTGTTGTCTCCCCTCTTTTTCAATTCTCTCTGATCTGTTATCTTCACATCATTCCTTGGGAAATGCTTCCACCCAAACTACCAAAAAGCCCCCACCAATAGACAATTTTTAGCCTTTAGTCTATTTGACTCTTCTATGGAATCTGCTCATTCTCTCTTTCAAAACACCCTGGGATCCATAAGGTCTCATCTTCTGATTTTCCTCCTGCCCCTCTTGGCCTTATTCTTATTCTGCCTTCAGGGTTTTTTTTCTTAAGACACCAAGGCGAGGAGAAAACGGGCTCATGAAAGACATTCCACTAAGGTGCGCACCACAATCACCCCATTTTAGAGATGAGGAAACTGAGACACAAGTTAAACAACCTGCCCAAGACCTCTCAGCTCGTAGGCAACAGATCTAACCCAGAAACCACCTCTGGACTTGCCCTCTTAACTGTCCCACTTCCTCCCTCTGTATAAAATCCCACAGTAGCAAGAGCGGAAATATGGGCAGCCATCCTTCCGGCAGGACGAAGCTGCTGGCAGTTCTGTCTCTGACACACAGGGAGCAACTGCCCTCCCAAGTGAAAGAAGTCGGTGGGACTGAGGCAGGCAGCAGGAAGCAGGCAGCAGGCAGCTGGTCCTCATTTCAAACACGGTGTGGCCAAAGCCACAAGGCTCTAGGGCTGGAGGGGCAGTCTGCTGTTCATAGACAATGTAGATATTGCTCTGGCCCAGGCCAGGTGGCTGAAATAAGTTTGTGGAGAGAGCCCAGGAAGCTCCTAGAAGATCTACAGAAGAAGGAGGCTGGCACCCTGCACGGACTCCTGACTGCTCCCATGGGAGAAGGAGCTATTGCTGTCTCAGCTCCCAGGAGCTCCGTTTTGCGGCAGACCTACAGGCCCAGAATGCTACAGGCCTCTCGGGACTGGAAAATGACGCCCAGAGGTGGTGAGTCCTTTGGGCCATGGCTAATTCTCTGCCCAGAAAAGCAGATGGCAAAAAAGCTCATTGCCCCAGTGGGACAGAGTTGTTAGTCCCCAAAACAGAGGTTCTGTTTTTTTACAGGGAGAGGTCAGGGGTTCGGTTTGTACATGAGGACCCTGCCTCTAATCCTGAGTCTCCAAGTGGCTTTGGGGATCTGTGTCCCCAATCTGCACCCAGCCATGCCATTTTGCGCAGAAGCTGCTGGGCATTCGTCCACCACTTCTGATGCCATCCGCATCCCAGGCTGCCCCCTCCTCTGAGAGGCAGAGTATCTGACCCCCTTCAGTCCAACAAGAACCTGAAATTAGGAGCTGGACACAGAGTACCCTTAAGTAGCACACATGTGACTTGCCACGGGGTCACACCTGCCCACCCCACATTTATTCCCCATTCCCTCTGCCCAGAACACTCCTCACCCCACAAAACCACTCCAGGCTAAGTCCAACTCATCACCCATGACCAAGTGCCGTTTACTTCTCAGGTCTTCCCTATCCTGAATCCAAGATTAATCCTCTCTTGTCCCCACTGCACTTGGTTTGTATTTGTCATGCAGCCTAGTGACAGTTAACTTGCACGCTACTTCCCTAGGAACGGGTGTGACCAAGCACCGGCCTGAAAGCGCGCCGAGGGCGAAACTGCTCCCCTTTATCTGTTTTCCACTGTGCCTGCCAGCCCCTTTCCTTTGGGTGTCCAGTGAGTAAATCTGTCTGCCTAAGAAACACTAGCTGGGTGACTAGGAGCTGGGCTAGGAAGTGCATATGTGACAGATTTAAAGAACCGAATGTGTTTACTTATCTCTCCTTCACTTTTTAAAAACCTGATTTTCTCCCAACTCATTCTGTTGTGGCCTGAGAACATCCCTGGCTGTTTGTAGGGCATGAAGAACATGCCTCTGTGAATCACAGGCTCCTGACACTGGTCTCGGTGGTGTCTAGTGGGGCTGGCTCACAGTGGCTGCTCACTGGGCAGGGACGAGGGTGCACGCCCTCCTGAGGCTGGGCCTGTGCTGGGGCCTGTCCACTCCCTGTCCCTGGCTTCTTTTTGTGGAGAGAGAATAGCCAGTCCCAGAAGGAACTTCAAAGTCCATCTATTTCAAGCCCTTCATCTTGCAAACCTGAGGCTTAGGAGTGGCAGGGGACACATAAGCTGCTGGTGACAAAGCTCAGATGAGAAACCAGGCTCAGGGTTGCTTTCCTGTGTCCCAGATGTTACACACACTCCTGTAGGAGCTCAGCTCTGGCGGCAGGACACAGTGGGAAGGGCACTGCTGAGACCTACGTGGGCTCTGCTCCCGACCTGCCGTGCAGCCTTGGTCAGGCTCTACTATTTCTGGGGCCTCAGCCTCCTCCTGAGGGAAGGATCAGGAGGTGGGCTAGATGACAGCTAAGTCCCCTTTTGTGAAAGTCTGCAGCGTCCAAAGCTCCTCATTTTAGCATCCCAGCCAGGCTAGACGTTCACAAGAGGAAATAGAAGACTGGGGGTGGGGGACTGATTTTTTTGCAATCACCTGTCTTGGTCTTTGTGATTTTTGAAGGAGTCAGCATTCTCCATTTACACCTGGGTTAGTGACTTTTTGGGCAAACCTTCCTGCAGCGCTAACCACCATTCACAGTTTTTACAGGTTTGACTCAGTTCTTGTTTGGGCTTGGCACACATGACAGGCGGTAATTAGTGTGCTGCCCAGCAGGGGTGCCAATATCAAAGGGCCCCAATTCTCCCCAGTAACCGGGAGATAAAGAACCTGCGCTTCCTGTTGTCTGTCAGCCCCTTCCCTGGCGCTGCTCATGGGGACCAGGACATCTTGTCACACACCTGCTCTCGCTACCTGGAGGCTTCAGCTCATCAGTCACTCACAAAGAGCCTGCTGGTGCTTTGGGGAAGTGTGGTTTACTCAGGAGCATTTCAGCTCCTGTGGTTTTTTCAGGAGCATTCCAGCTGCGCGGGGCAGGGACTGTTTCTTTCAAAGCAACTTACAAACTGTCACTGTTCCCCTCCCTTTTACCTCTGGGATGTGTTTTTCTTTGTCCACATTGCTGATGGCTGGGCACAACTACACGGAGAAACAGGAGAGCAAGTCCCATCCGGCTTGACTTTATGGATGGTGGCCAATGTGCAAAAAGAATGTTAAGGCAAAGCTTGTCCTGTCTCTAAGGGGACTTGCCTGACCTGCAGCTGCGTGGAACACCCTGCCCATTACTCAGAGTTACATTCCGGTCAGGTTCCACCCTCAGGAATGTCCTTGAGGGACCAGACAGCCAAGGAGAAAGAGGTGCCTCTGAATTGAACCCTAAAAGACTAAGTCCAGCCTTCAGAGCTCCCAAGGCAGGCAGCTATCCTGGCCAGACTCTGGCTTCTCAGGCTGGCCCAGGGGACGCACAGGCTTCTTGACAAGAAGATGCCGCACACTCACCAGCCATGTCTCGCCTTCCTCTGCCTCCTCTCAGGTTCCTCGGGGAATGGCACAGACGGTGTCAAAGAGACGAGAGACAAGAGACGGGCCGCCGGGGATCGCCCTACCATTTATAGAAGCTTCTCCTACACACCCCAATTAGGATTCTAATGAGGTAGGCGAGGCACCAGGTCATTCCTGTAGTGCCTGTAAACGTTTCACTTACGACACATGCTTGTCACCCAATAGAAGGTCATCATGCTTGTGCAAGACCAGCTTGGGGAAAAGGAGGAAGATGACCAAGAAACGCACATAGTTCACTTTTATGATTTTTTAAGCAGACGAATAACTTCCTGGACCACAGGGTTGAGGGAATGAGGCCGTGCTTTTCTCCAAGTATCTTGTTCAGAGCTGATCCAGGAAACACCATCTGAGCAGAACTCAGAAGCCGAAAACTGCACAGCCCTTTCTCACTACCCGGTCTATTAGTATTTTCCACCTGCATAAGGGACGTGAGACCCGTCATAGCTCGTTTGCTTCACATTGTCATACAGGAGAAAGAGCATTCGATTTACAGTCAGAAGCTGCTGGTTATCTTACTGGCCGGGCCCTGGGCCACCTCTCACCCTTGAAGCCTGGAAGCCTTGCTTGCAATTGGGGAGAATCATGCCTACCCCTCTCAACTCAAAAAGTGTGGGCAAAACGCAGCTAAAAAGTGCACCTACGTATACCATCATGGATCAAACCTGAGAGCTCCTGGACTTGATTCCAGACTGGGGGAGAAGTCCTTCCTTTTCTTCTTGTTTCTGAGTCAGGGTCTCCCTCTGTTGCCCTGGCTAGAGTGCAGTGCAGGATCATAGCTCACTGCAGCCTAGAACTCCTGGGCTCAAGCGATCCTCCCACCTTCAGCCTCCTGAGTAGCTGGAACTACAGGTACATGCTACCAAGCCTGGCTAATTTTTTTTTTTGTAAAAGCTTTTTTTGTAGAGATGAGATCTCACTAGTCACCCAGGCTGGTCTTGAACTCCTAGCCTCAAGCAATCCTCTCATCTTGGCCTCCCAAAGTGCTGGGATTACAGGCCTGAGCCGCTGCGCCCGGCCAAAACTGTTCTTTTTAATGAGGCAGGAGGCGCAGCCTCTGACCCTGTGGTTCTGCGGTGTGTTCTCTCTCAGACTGCAGGGCACGACACTGAGCTTCTCTGTACCAGTCCCTGTGAAGGAAGGACGAGGCAGTGGGGAGAAGCTCTGACATTCTACAGTTGTTTGTTTGCTTTTTTCGCTTTTGAGGGAATGTGTTTCCAAAGATCCTATTAGGGATATTTACAGGTATCAATGTTTCCTGGGACAGAAAAAGGAGTTGATATTTTAAAAAAGTAAATTAGTGACTAATTCTCATATAAATTATATTTAATTTGTACATTACTTAAACATTAATTTTTAATTCAACATGTTAATATGGTGTTTATCTTTTTTTTTTTTTTTTTTTGCAGTTTTTGGCCTGGCCTGGGTTTGAACCCGCCACCTCCAGCATATGGGGCCGGCGCCCTACTCCTTTGAGCCACAGGTGCCACCCAATATGTTGTTTATTATATTGCATCCTCATTTATAAGTGAAATATGTTTGTAGTTTCCCCTTTACAATAATATATTTTCTCTATTTTTAATATCAGGTGTATCCAGGTTAAGTAGAATGATTTTGAAGTATTTCTTTTTCTATTGTCTATAAGATTTGGCATGATCTGGTTTTTTGGTGAAATTATCTTTTACTTTTATTTATAAATATTAGTTGTCTATTTTTTTTGAGACTTTGGAAAAAACAAAATAAGAAAAAGAAGTTAACTGGTCGAAGTATTCTATGATAGACATACTTCTATCTGAAAAAAAAAAGTAAAGCTTCAAGGATTCACAATACAACAGACCCTTCCCAAAGCTTCCCCCAGCCTTGGAGTGGGGGAGGGAGCCTGAGGACTATTGTGACGAGGGGGTCTCTAGGGAGAAGGTGGGGCTGCTGGGTCCTGCGAAAGGTGAGACTGAATAGACAGGTGGCTTAGGAAATTGGAAAAGAGGGATGAACATCTTTTCTCTATCCTCTGAGCTTCTGTAACAGGGCCTCTATTACCACACGCATCCAATGTGCTGGAACTATCTGTCTGTGTCCAGCCCCATCCCTACATGGGATCCTTGGGGGAACGGGTGACATATTACTCATATCTTCTTCTTAGAGGCTGGCATGGGACTTGACACATGGCAGGGACACATACATTTCTGAATAAGTGCCTCAATCAGCCACAATAAAGAAAGGGACAATCACTGTTTAGGATTTCGTGCTTGCTGTGGGCAGGCACTGGCTGAACCCTTCAGGTACATTACATTAAGTTCATGGCATCCTTGTCACACAGGTGCTATTAGTATTGCTCTCTTATGGGGCAGGCAGATTAATCTGAGTTGATCCAAGCGGGAGATTCATACACATTGCGTGAGCGGCTTTACCGTCCCCTGTTGGCTTAACCTTTGAGGTGGGCTACCCAAATGTCTTGGGAAACTTAGCCTTTCCTAAGAGAGGTGGCTTGGCACCTGTGCCAGGCAGAACGGGAAGCACTGTTGGATCTGGAAGAGAGCAGAGGGTAGAGAGGTGCACGCAAAGAACACTAAACCCAATCGGAAGTTTTCAGTGTGGTCTTGGCCCCGGCTGCGGCACTAGCCATGACTCAGGGCACAGCCCTTAATACGCTGAGTCCTGCCAGAAACCTCGAGAACTGCTACACGAATAGGATGAATGTGGCATCAAGGAAGGAGGGGTTTTGCTTATTATCACTGTTGTGGTTATTGTCTGGGAGCCAAGAAAAATCAGATCCTGGATATTTCTTTCAATGACCCGGCAAAGAAACCTGCAGAGGTGACAAGCAGACAGGTGGGGGTGCCCTTAGAAAGGAACCCGATGACACACAGACTCGGGTCCATATCCCAGCTCTGCCAAGTCACCTCACCTCTGTTTCCTCATCTGCAAAACTGCAGCTGAATCGCTGTGAGGATTAAAGGGGATGAGGAATATAAAGTGCTCGGTGCAGAGTGTGGCACAGCCCAGGGTAAGAAGTTAGTATTGATGACACCGGTAGCATTATCCTTCCAGGTCGCGAGTAGCACAGATTTTTTGAGGGGACTCACAGGTTTGGACAATGGTGCCTGACCACTGACCACTCGGCCTTCCCTTAGAGGGGCTGTCGCTGATCAGTCTTGACTTCAATGTTGTGTGGTAGAAAAATGCCTCAAGCTGGACTCCGGAGACCTGGATTCAGAGCCAGCCAGCGTAGCCTGCTGCTCTGTGACCTTGGCTGAGTTCTTCACTCCTTTCCCTTTTCTTCTCTTCTCAGACCAACCCATACACCTTCCGGGCTGTAGTGAGGCTCAAAACCATGCTGAAGACACAGGCACAGGCTCCTCTATAGACAGGCTAGAAGGACAGTCATCAGGGGCCCGCTGCCCCGCTCCTCCACAGCTCCTCCAGCCCGGCTCGCCTGTAGCCTGCTGGTCAAACAGCAGCAGGGCCCCGACAGGTCTGCCCTGAGTTGACTTAATGTTAGACTGGAGGATTGCGCCAGGGCCGCAGCCACAGCCCCAACCTGCAGGCAGACTATAATTTGTGTGCTGTGTCACAATCCCAGCTAAATGATTTTCAATTCATTCCTAGGTGGAGTCACCTGGCTACACAGGATGAAATTCCTGCTTGGCCACACTCTGCACCACAGACTCCAGGGAAGACAGAGCATGCGAATGTGGGCTTTAAAGAAGAGAAGCTAATTGATCACTCGTCTTTTTTCTCCCTCTAATTAAGGGATTTAGGGAAGATTTCATAACATGTGTAAAGGCATATCCAGCTCAGACTATTTCCCAGCAAAAGAATCTTCTTTCCTGAGATATTTCTCCCGATAGCTCCAAGGGTGGGATTGTAGCCCTCGAAGCAGCCCGAGCTTGTACCTGGACAGCGCTGGCTTTAACGGTCATTTCTAGGTGGTTTTGAAATCTATCTTCCCCCATTTCATAGGAGCTCCAAGAAGGCAGGTACTTTTGTCCATCCAGTTCTCTTTCCAGAGCTTAGCACTGTGCCTAGGGCGTGTGGTGAACTCTCAGAATAATTGGGTTAAAGTGGATTAGAAGGATTAGAAAGTTCTTCCTCATTGGAAATGAAAATCTGTCTCCTTAGAGCTTCTACTCACTGGCCCCCTCACTGAGACCAGATTAAACAAGGCTGCTTCTTCCTCCATCCAATAATGTTCTCCCACCAGTCTAGCAAACACCCCTTTGCTCGCCAAAGTCTTCCCTTTTCTAGGTGAATCACCAGTTTCTTCAACCATTCCTGACAACTCATGATATGGAAGCTTCTCCCCACCCAGCTGACCCAGTGGGTCATGCTACTCCCTTCCTCTGAAAGCTTTGGGCTCTTACATTCCCATCCCTCAGTTTGTCAGTCAAGGCCTTGCAGAATATGTTCAGTCTTTTTTTTTTTTTTTTTTTGAGACGAAGCCTCAAGCTATCCCCCTGGGTAGAGTGCCATGGCATCACGCTCACAACAACCTCCAACTCCTGGGCTCAAGCGAGTCTCCTGCCTCAGCCTCCCAAGTAGCTGGGACTACAGGTGCCCACCACAGCACCAGCCATTTTTTGGTTGCAGCCATCATTGTTGTTTGGCGGGCCCAGGCTGGGGATTCGAACCTGCCACCTTAGGTGTATGTGGCTGGTGCCTTAGCCGATTGAGCCACAGGCGCCGAGCCAATATGTTCAGTCTTAATTGTGTTATTTTCAAATACTCTGACATGAGCTCTCCTAATCAGCAAACTGTGTCTAATCATTCTTGCTAGAGCCCAACGTCATTTTCCTGTTTGTAGAATGTGCCTGCCTGGCACACCCACCTTATTCCTTACGTGTCTGTGTCTCCCCATCACCACGTCCCAGAGAGTCTCAGAGGACTTGTAATGAAACAAACAAGCCCAGGTTGAAGCCCCAGGGCCATATTCTAACTGTACGGACCACCTTGGGCAAATCAC